CCATAATATTTACACACATAGGTCCATGTCGTGACTTGCCGTAACCAGACCAGACTAGATCAAAATCCCGCCCAATTTCAAACACGCCCTGCCACAAACACCGTCATCTTCCCTCCACGCTCTACCAACTCTACAAATACCTTTACCCAGCCTGGTACCTACCAAACCCAACCCTATACCACACACCACACTCTCCAGCGCCGGCCGAAAGTATTAACAACTCACTACCAGAAGGCCAACCAAACTTGAGCCATACCAACACCCCTATACATTTTTTAAACACAAATCAAAGTATCTCTGACAGAATATAAACCGCAATACACAGCTCAAGGCTCTAGAATAAGCAATTTAGAGCCTTGCGTTGATCAAGGCGGCAGGCGGCGTGGGCAAGGGCATTGTATTGCTGTTTTGTGAGTAGTTTGTTGGTATCTTGTGTCATTCTTTTTTTTTGTTTTTTTTGGGCAGACGGCACCATGTCACCTCTATCCCTCAAGGCCACACATATTCCGAGTACGGGATCATTCTACCTGTGCATCAAATACCTACGCAGCCACACTCGCTGCCTCACCCTCAGCCCCAAGACGCTGGCTAAAGCCCCAGCCACGCGCGCTGTGTTTTCCTAATTGGGTATAGTGTGAGATGCCTTTTTAGCGTGGTGTGGGTTGGGGATTACTTGGCGCGGTTTACTGCAGTGCAGGAGTACGTGGGTGATGCGCGATGTGCGCGGTTTTGGGTGGGGTGCGCGGTATGGGAGCTTGATTTGGATGGGCTGGGGTGGGAGGGGATGGGGAGGGGATGGGTATATAGATGGGGATGGGGATGGAGGATTTGGAGGATTTACCTACCTACCGCACGGTATTGAGGTTTTTGTGTCGTGTTGGCTACGGTACCGGTACCTATTGGCAATTGTTTATTTTTTTTACATGTTGTACAGTTATACTACGCACCACGTACATTACAATTGGAGGGTATCCACGTTGCTGTTTCGAGGAGACGGCAGGCTTGGTCGTTGGGCGATCAGTATCAGACTCGGATTGAGAAAAATTGACGGTCGAGGATTGGTTGCGAGTGGATATACCTATTGAAGAGCTGGGGCTGGTAGAGTGAGGATAGGGACTAGGATTTCTATCGACTGCCCAGGTACCTACTGCATAGATCGACTGCGTACGGTACGGTAGACCGACTCCCACCATCAACGACACACGACACACGGCAAAGATCACATCGCCCAAATCCAATCCAAGCCCACAACACACAACAGCACGACCACCAAACCATCTCACCCCTGACCACCGGAGAGTACGGTACCATACCCATCACGCAACCCCAGGTCCCTCGAACCCACAACCACCACCCCCTCCAAAAAAAACCCACACACAGAACAATGGGCTGCACATCCAGCAAACCCCGACCCCAAAAACCCCTCTACACCACCTACCCCCCCTACCCATACCCACAACCATAC